CTCGCTGCCCCTGAGTCTCTGGCCTGTACCCCAGTTCTGTATGCACAAATAAATAAATCTTAAAAAAAAAAAAAATCACCACCACCCCTGACCACATGAAGTGTCTGTAAGCAGTGTCCATCCCGTGTCCCTCCCTGATACATTGGCTCCATTTTCCCCAGCCCTCCAGGTGTATAGCACGTGCATCCTGGACACGCTCCGCCCCTTCTCAGGCGCCTTTTGTCTCTGCTTCCTGCACTTGCTCATGCTATCCCTGCCTGGATTCCCTTACTCCCTGTTCCCTCCCCTCCCACAGCTGGACAGCTGTCTGCCTCCAGCCTGCCTGCCTGCCCGGCCCTGGCCTCAGCCTGTGATCTCCAGCTTTGCTGCTGGCTGGACCTTTCCATAGACCAACCCAGCAGCATGTGTGAGCAGTGACTCTGGCAGCACAACGGGCTTGTTGGCACACTCCACCAGCCTGGGGCCTTAGGGATTATTACTGACTTACAGGATCATGATGGGGGAACCTAAGTGAAGCACCTCACTTGTCCTGTACTGAGTAGAAGCCCAGGAAGAGTTCGACTTCCCTTTTCTTCTTTCTTCGAGGTCCCTGGTAAATGCTCTATAATGATTTTTTTCACCCTCTTTTGCTTGAGAGAGGAAAATGCGTCTCCCTGCTTAATCATGTGGGACTAAACTACCAGAAGATTACAAGAATATTGCTGAGCCATAAGGGGAGAGAATAAAAAGCTCAATACTGATCTGCCTGCTTATTTTTAATAAAATCTTGCAAGCAGAGCTGAATCTTTACATTCAGAAAAAGCTCTGCTTTGCCCAGTGGTGTTCAGGAGCTGGTGTTTGGAGGGACACGGGGCATTGCGACCTTGAGAACAGGCTGCGTGTGCAGGACAGCTCTCTTAGGCTCCAGGAGCTGGTGGGGAGCTGGAAGGGCCACCGGGGAGGGTCTTTGCCTCTCCCACTCACCCAGCCCTGGCCAAGATGTTCAAGTGCTGGATGCTGCTGTCCCTCATGGGCCTCCCCTTCACTGCAGCCAAATGGTAGTGCCCAGACAGGTGACGACTCCAGCTGTCCTGCTGCCTCTCATGGAGAGACTGAGAGTGGACAGCTGTAGAGGGTAAAGCATGGGGTAATTAGGGGGCTGCTGCTCTTCAGCAGGGAGAGGAGCTTGGTTGAGGGCAGACCCTGTACCCAGTCAGTTCCTCTATTGGGAGCCTGGGCAGCAGGGGTTCCTTTACCAAGCTCTGCCCAGGACTCTAGGAAGCCTCCCAGAGGCCGGTGTCTGCAATGCACGTTGGACAGTGTTGCCCGGCTTTGGAGACAGGTGAGCCCCACCCTGGAGCTCAGGGCCCTCTGGTCAGACCTGCTCAAATTGGAGCTGTGGGATGGACACTGAAGAGTACAGGTGTACCCCGCAGGGAATGGGGGCCACCACTTGGACTCTGTCCAAATAGAGAGGGTACGTGCATTTCTGATGCGGGAGTGTGCTGGGCTCTGCTGTAGGGCATAAGGACTATATGTGGCCTGGCCATCACTCTGGAGAGGGGGTGATGGATTGATTTGATGGTGCAGATGGGAAGAGTCTTGGGGGGCCTTGGGAACAAAGCACTAGGAATTCAGGGAGAATTAGAGGTGTCTAAACAGGAAGGCCAATCTGGTAGCTGGGGAGAGAACAAGGGGTGGCTTGGGGTAAGTCCTGGGGAGGAAAAAGGAAGTTTCTGCTCTGAGAAAAGTGGGCCCAGAGGAATAGCTTATCAGCAGTAAGTCTGTGATCAGGTCCAGAGCTCCGCTAGGGCTCTTCAGACTTGCTCACCCTATCTTCTCGAGCTCTCCTCGGCCCTATAAGGCACTTTGGTTCTTAGTTTCTTCCATATTGGCTCAAGCACTTAGGGCTTGGGGAGAAGCCCCAAGGAGCCTCCAGTCAATCCCAGGGAGAAGGTGCCTTGACTTGGTAGAGGCCATTCCTGGGAGCAACATGCCATCCACAGTGGAGGCAGTGCCCTGGCAAAACCTTGGAACCCAGTGTGCATACTAAAAAGGGTCGGGGGCAGGAGCTCAGTTCCTGGCCAGGCCCCTTCATCCTGGGCCTGCTAGTTCTGGCTGTTAACTCATTTCCCCTTGTGCAGAAGGGGGCAGTGGGGAGCTGAGGACCAAACTGGATGGTGCTGAGGACTGAGTTCAGCGTTCCTGTGAGCTTCAGGCAGGCAGGTGGCCTGTCTCTTCTGCGGACAAATATCTGCCAGGAATCTTCTCTGTAAATGCAGGTTTAAGTGCTACCTGTTACAGTTTTTGTGGGAATGTTGAAAAATAGTGCCATTGCACATGGGTGATTTGGTGATGGGAAGCCCAAGGGGATTGCAACTGAGATGGAAAGATGCACACAATGATGTAAAAATAAACTATTATATTTAAAAAAAAAAAAGTGCCATCGTCTGGAACTGGCATCCAAAACTCATCCTGCACAGTTCCAACAAGCAATTTCTTAGAATTTTCTTCTACCTAGAGGTCACCCGCTGAGTACTAATCCACTGCCGGTGGCTGGTGTTGCAAGACGGGGACTAGATAATAGAAGTCAGCAGCTACTCTGTGAGCCTCCTGTTCCTTTAGTGGCTTTCTGTAATGTTGCTGTCCCTCCTTCCTGCCTAACCAGTAACCCTAGAGAAGACCCCATGGGGAAAAGAGAACCCATGTCTTCTGCTTTCCCCCCAACACTGGGCATATTACTACCCAGCAAAGTTTAAGTATGCCCTGTTAGGGGAAGAGGCTGTAACTTCCCAACCTCCCTTAGAAAAGGGGGATGCTGCACATTCCCCCAATTCTGCTTCTTACAAGTTCAGGATGCTCCCCTGAACAATCACTCTGGAAAAGCCACTTACGTGTCCTCTCTGTGACCGCCTTGCCTCAGAGATGACAGGCAAGGTATGGGCAGCGCTTTACACATTCAATTTCTATCAGAAGCTCTAGGGTAAAAATAGAGATCTCGGGTGTATCACTGCTCACCCCAGAGGTGTTGTTCTAGAAGTTCAGCTTCTCTGTCGTGCTGCAGCTCAGTCCTGGCTCTACTCGCTCAGAGTAGGCATCCAGCTTATTGTGTTTAAAGACATGGTCCATTACAAGACTTCACCCCACTTTAGACACTAGCCCCAAAGGGGCTTAGGACACCCACACTTCTGACACCCACAACTGGCTACAGGGCAGGGGTTTCCCACAGCCCTCCTCAGTTTCCATAATTCACCATAACAGGACAGGACCAAATACTCTCTACTGTCATTACAATTTTCTTATAAAGGATGCAAATCAGGACCAGGCAAATGAAGAGACCTGTGGGCCAGGGTCTGAGCGGGCGCTGGCAGAGCTTTCAGGACCTCACCCTAGAATCTCGGCACTTCAGCCTCCTGGCACATTGGTGAGTTCACCAATGAGGATGCTCCCCCTAGCTTTACTACCGTTACTGATTGGAGTTCCAACCCTGAGGCACCACTGATTGACCATCAGCCACATGAATGAACTCAGTCACATCCTCAGCCTCCTTCCTGGAGACTGATCCAGCTCAAAGCTTCACTCTAACCACATGGTTGGTCTCCCATACCCGACCATCACCCCCAGGAGTCCACCATGAGCCACAAAAACCCAGGTGTGGTTACTGTACTGGGTTCATAAATAAAAACACTCCAGTATTCTGCCATGACCAAAGGGTCAAAGTCTTTATTAAACAACAGTAATGATGGTGTTTTTCCATGTCTTTCTGGAAACTGCCTTAGCTATATCAGTTACCTGCTACCTCCCTCCACTTGTAAGAATTTCTGTATGCCTGGCACCTTTATTATTTCTACTGCTCTTTGAAGTCTTTGCTATTAACACAACCATTTTAAAAGTGAGAACTGAGGTCCAGAGGAAAGTGATGATCTCGGGGTGACACAGCTAAACTGTAGCCCAGCTAGGATTTGAGCCCAGTTAACCGCTGTGGGTGGGTCAAAGATTGGGCCATCTGAATTTGCAGCAATTGCCAGCATCTGAATTTGAACATCAGATGTTCCTTTGGCTAGAAGTCAATTGTCTTCTCTTTAATGAAGATGGTGGCTCTTGCCTGCTATCTGCTATGCTATTGAGGCTTCAGTACCAGAAAGGGCCTTTCTTAGAGGAGTCCCCTTGCGTTGTTCTCCCTAGGCCGTGCCTAGCCATCCTGCTGGGCCAAGCCTGTGCATTATCCGTTGGAGAACCAGGGAGAGAAAGAGTGCAGGACTGCGGGACACTGACTCTCTTGCTTTCCCTGCCAGGCTTATGCAAGCAGCCCGAAGCAGAAAGGATCCCGAGCTAAGCTCAGCTGGGCAAGTGCCCGTCTGAGGCTCCAGGGGCCATGACACAGGCTCGGTAGGATAGGGGAGAGAAGCACTCTGCTGGGCCTCATCTGCCAAATGTCCCTTCATCCACTCCTCCCCTCCCAGGTGGTTAAAAGTGCTGCAATAGGTGTTTCTGCCACTGCCAGGCCCCAGGGGATCTATCTGCGCAGGACTAGGTCAGAAGTCAAACCCTGGAGTTTGGGAAATTAGCAGCATTTGTAGGATTCCCAAGAGACTTCGGGTTTCTCTTAGAAGGCAGCTGCAAATGTGGGAGAGCGTCCAAGGTAGCCACAGCGACTGGGAGCCCTGTTGACGTTTACCTGCCTCCACCCCTGCCTGTGACCGGTGGCAAAGCCGTATTTCCACGTGAGGCCAACCATGGAAAAGGAACATCTAGTAGCCATGTGCTCTGATTCTTCATATATGGCTCCTGCCTCCGTTGGGTTCTTGTGGTTCAGAGGAGACCTGGGACTGGCTGAGGGAGGCCACCTCCTCTGGCCCTGCAGCCTGCCTGGGGTAGACTTGCCTTGGCACCCCTCTCCGGGGGTCTGCCTTCCTTTCCTGTGGATGGTGCACTTGGTTATCTGATTTCTGCACATGAATTATGTTTAGAGGAACTTAGCTCAAATGCCATGGCTAAATCCCTCTCTTCTTGTTTTGCAGTCGGGAAGACGTCTCTGATCACACGGTTCATGTACGACAGCTTCGACAACACGTACCAGGTGAGATGCTGGGCACCTCCAGGTCTGCAGCCTTGACTGCCCCGCAGGGACCACAATGCCCTCTCTCCAAGCTCCCTATAGACCAGATCTTGGCCCTATAGTGTCCGTTTGGCAGTGAAGGCGCTTCCGGTCTATGCTCTGGCTCCAGCCCAGTGAATACCCTGAGCTTTCTGAAAATCCAAACCTTAGTACAGGAAACAGCTTTCTCTTAGAAGATATTTATAATATGGAGAGAGAATCATTTTTCAGTCTGTATTCTCTTGTGCCCCACGGGCAGTTCTAACAAGTGCGTTGCTAGTTTACCTGGGAGCTGACCTCGTACATGTGGTTATGTTTGTTGGACACCACGTAGTGTAGATGCATTTCCTTTCCCGGAACAGCAGTTTGCATGGCTCCACATGTGCAGAGGGTGGATGGAATGATTTCTGTGGCTTCTGGCACTGGAGGGTGATTTTGGGGTCAGCCAGAGGCCTAGACGGGGCATCAGTTACCCTGATGGAGGAGCTTTTGGGGATCAGTAATGTTTGACTTCTCTGACCTATTCATGAATAGAAAGGTTTGTGCTAAAGAGCTGAATTTTTCCTGCAACTGTAGCTTTACCCAAAATATACCAAACTACCTTTTCAGCTTTTTAAAGAAAAATGGTATTTTCATCATTGAATCAGAGACAAATTATAACAGATTTTTCTAAGCCGGTGGCTCTGTAAGATACTAGTTGCAAGAGATTGTTGTTATAAGTGTTATTTGAGGAACAAAAGGCAGGGAAGGTTCAATGTGTGTATAAATTTGGGGAACACCGGTGAAGAAAATCAAGTTAGCAGGTCCACTGAGGGACTTCTCAGAGCCTTTATTGCATCAGTGTATGGTTTTGATTTGCTGAAAGAAGCACAGAGGATGCAGGAGCTCCTGAATGCATTTGGTCATGGAATCCTTTTGTCACTGGGCTCTCAGAGGACAAATATTTATAGAACACACCCGGGACTGCGGAGCTAAGAGCTGCCTGCGCTTCTGAACGCTGAGATTTCAGAGTGCAGCTCACTTGGGTCACAGTGCCAGGTCTCCACTTGGTCTTTCTCCCTCTGGACCTGTGTCCATGCTTGCCTCAGATACACCCCAGATACGTCTCGTTCAGCCTTTCTGATTCCCTGCTTTCCCTCTGCTGCGGTGCAGATTATTGGTGGGCTTGGCAAGACAGATGCTGGGGTAGAACACAGGCTCTGGGAAGGGGCCCAGTGATGTGCACAGTGTAGATGTGGCTTTGGGGCAGTGTCTTGACCACACCTGTCTGTGCTGCACTCTCTAAGTCTGTGCTGGCTGAGAGCCACGGCGGGTGGCCCTGAGGCCTCACCTGACACGGGAACTGTGACTGCTTCCATTGACATGAGCACACTGCAGACTGCATTTCTGAAATCTGACTTGCATTCATTTATGTGTATGTATGAAAGACCTCATGTGTATTATTAGGTGTTTGAAATTTTGATATTAGGGATTTTGAATATTAAGTTTTTTTAATTAAAAAATATTTATGCATATAAGAACTGGGGTACAGGCCAGCGGTGCAGGGGGTGAGAGGATTCACCAGAGACAGGGAACAGAACAGGCAGATTGACTGAAATATACTGCTGAGGAGAGCACAGGGTGGGGCAGGAAAGGTCTGCTGCGCCGTATGGGTCAGTTCCTCTCTGGGGATCGAACTCATGCTGCAGTGGCTGCAGACAATTCATAGTGCTATGATTTAACCCCTTGCATCACCAGGGAGGGCCAGTATTAAGTTCTTTATAATAACCTCTTTTGGCATCCTGCTGAACGGGATGATTCTCAGCTGGTTGGTGTTCTTAGTGTGCTGGGTGGCAGAGACAGCCTCAGGACCTTTGCAGTCTTCCTCATTGCTGTAGACCAAAGCCTCAGCTACTTCCTGTTGTGTTCAAGTCCCTCAAAATATCAGCGAAACCCCATTTCCAACCTTGTTTCCCACTGCCCACTGGTGGTCTGCATGCCAAGGGTGCTCCCTTCTTGCTCCCACAGTGACATCGTCAAGCAGTCTCTGCACCTTGGCTCATGGTGTCACCTCTGTTGGGATGCCCTTTCCTCTCTTTTTCACTGCTGTGAAAAATTCATCACAGCTCAGAGCACAGGTTTGCAGTGTGGGTGAGACTTTCCCTGTGCTTCGCCCCGTCCCGTGACACCTTCTCCCTTAGCATGGTGTCCTCAGGGCTCATTTAGCCTCCAGACTTACAGGTGCACCTTTGTGCCCTGGCTCCGGGATGGATTCCGGGATTCCTGGGGCACCACTGCTGCATTCATGGACCACGCGCAGAGACTGGCCAGAGCTGGTGTCACAAGTACCTGTTGGTACCAAAGTTTCTTAGCAAGACACTGTCTGCCTTGGTGCTTAAACCCCACCCGACTGATAGGCCGCAGAGGCCCCACGTGTCAGAAAGGGGAGAAGGCCCAGAGAGAAGCCGTTGCCCGCTGTGGAAAAGCTGTGGCTTTTCTTTTACTGCAGCAGGTAGAATTTCTTTAGATGATACCCGCAAAATGGTAATTCGGCTGGGAGGCCAGAACCCCAATTCTGTGCATTTGTGTTTTAATGAACCCTCTGGAGATCAGGAGGGGCAATGTTATTTTGTTTATCTTAACATGGTGCAAGAGAGGTTTTGGAAGGCAATGAGAGCTACAGACCTGGGAGATGTTCCTAGCTGTCCCTTCCCCGCCCAAACATCCTGTCCATCAGGACAGTCCCTGTGGAGTGACTGCAGCACACCTAGCACAGCCCTGCAGCTCCCCCCTCCCGGCTTCCTTGATTAACTGAGGGCCAGTACAGGACAGCCCTCCTTGTCAGAGTCTCTGGTCCTGTCTGCCCCACCTACACACTCCAGCTCCTTCTCTCTGAGGACAGATGTTGAGATATCAAGCGTTTACTGTGTTTGGAGAGACAGCAGAAGCGGGCGGCCTGGCCCTGGAGCCTGGCCCTGCCCTTACCCGGGCACGGAAGGCAGAGAGTTTGCAGCCTCATCTTTTGTAGCAGCCAGTAAGTCTCCGTTGCTGAGACTGCATGTGCCCGAGGCCCCAAGGGGCTGGCATGGAAACCTGCTGACAGAATTGAGTTCCCCTGTTACACCTCTCAGATAGGCCCTAGGAGATGCCACCTTGTCATCCTGTGGGCAGGAGAGCAGGTCTTCTGCCACCTCCTGCCTGGCACCCTCCCCCACCCACCACACACACACCTTATTCTCCTCTTGACACATCTGCTCCCCGGACTCTCACCACCCCTCCCATCACTGCATCTAATCTAGTTACTTGAAGAAGTAAAAGATCAAGACTCAAGCAGCCTGGTGAGGTTCATGTCTGTAAATACTTCTTATATAAATTCTCCACTAAAAAATACTTTCAAAATTTATTCCAGAAGAAACCTCTGGCACCAGGACTGTGGGGAGGCAGTGCTCTGTGTGGGTCAGCAACCCCTCCCCAGAACAAGTGAACACACCTGCTGGCCGGGTCCTGGGCCATAATGGGAGACTTCAGGCCTCTTCAGGCTGCCCCTGGGGGTGAAAGAGGGTGGGGGATTTGGTAGCCATCCTCTGCTAGAGTTTCTCTGGATGCCTCATGGGTTCTCTCTCGACTGCACGGCAGCTGGCGAGGAGACTCACAGGCTAGCTGAGGCATCGCATTCTTTAAATTTCAAAAGTGACTGAGATGAACTGATAGCCAGTCCTGGAGCCACTTGTCCTTCCATGGACCACTCACCACAGCACAAATTAGGGAACCAGCCTGACAGGTTGTCAAGGAGAGGTCCTGGCTCCCCTCCAGCTGCTCCAGGAGAAGCAGAGTGGAGAGTGGAGGTGCATTCTTCTTCTTCTTCTTCTTCTTCTTCTTCTTCTTTTTTTTTTTAAAGATTTATTCATTTATGCATACAGAACTGGGGTACAGGCCAGGGGGTGCCAGGGTGGTGAGAGGATTCACCAGACACAGTAGTGGGGAGCAGAACAGGCAGACTGATGAAGTACACTGCTGAGGGGAGCAGCGGGTGAGATAGGAGAGGGCTGCTGTGCCATGTGGGTCACGTCACCTTCGGGGCAGCCAGGGATTGAACTCACCCTGAAGCAGCTGCTGCTCACTTGCAGTGCTGTGCTTTAACCCACTACCCCACCAGGGAGGGCCAGATTTGAATTCTGGGGGAGCTTTGCCTGTCCTGGGCACTTTGTGTCCATGGCACCTTTGGGAAAGGAAGGAGTGGCTTGCCCGCTGCACCCTCACAGGCTGTGGGGTTGTCTGAGGAACTCTCAGCTTCAGCCGTCCTCACTGTCATTCCTGCCTACCCTGCCCTAGACTACTTTCTTCCTCTTCCTGGATCTCGGAGTTCCAGGGGCTACTAGAACAAGTTACTACAAACCCAGCAGCTAAAAACAATAAAAAGACATTCCGTCACCATCTGGAGGCTGGAAGTCTGGAATTGACTTCCCAAGAACCATGCTCCCCTCAAGGCTCTGGGGAAGAATCCTTCCCTGCCTTGCAGCCCCTGGGCCTCCAGGTGTTCTTGGCATGGGTTGCAGCACCAGTCTCCACCCCCATCTCACGTGGCTGTCTTGCATGTCTGCATGTCCTCCCCTCCCATGAGGGCGCCAGTTGCTGGTTGGAGGCCCTCACCTAACTCCAGGGTGATTGTTCATCCTGGGATTCTATATATATAATAGAATCCCATTCTTGGTATTTTATATATATATATAGTTTATTTTTACATCATTTTGTGCATTTTTCCATCTCAGTTGCAATCCCCTTGGGCTTCTGATCACCAGATCACCCATGTGCCGTCCCCAGAGTCCAGTGCATTTCCCTCCACTCATTGTTTTTGATCTCATTCCCCACTGTACCCCCCCCAATGTCTCTGGTATGTAGCTGTTCATCATTATCATTATTTTCTCGCCTGTTCCGTTATGTTCCTGATATCGGAGAAACCATCCTGTATTTTTCCTTTTCTTTCTGGCTTATCTCGCTAAGCA